GGTTCGTCTGCACCGCGTGAGATTCGGGCTGTCTGCCACGCGCTCTGATCTGGGGTCATCCCGCACGCCGCTATTGATCTGGGCTGTCCGTGCGCGCGGGAACGGATCTAGGCCATCCAATCGCGTGCACGCGGATTGCCCACGTGGCTCCCCGCGTCAGCGTCCTGCCACGCGGCGTGTCCTGGTTGGCCGGGACTGCTGACGTGGCACTATTTTTTTAAATTGTGTTTTGACTCACAATTTTCGATTTTCTTTTCAAAAACATCTTCAGAATTCAAATTTTCACCCATTTTTCCAAAAATCAATTTCAATTAAATTCCAAAAATAATTTTATCTCATTTTATTATTATTATTATTATTATTTCTATTAAATTAAATTAAAACTTTATAAATTAATTATTAAAATAAAATAAAATAAAACAAAATTCTAATAAAAATTAAAATAAAATAAAATAAAAGTTGTGGGCGTTACAGGTGCAGGTGCACACGGAATTGAATAAAAGGAATTCAACCATGAATTTTGTTGACTGAAAATACATAGATTTCATCCATTGAATAGAAGAAAACTTCAAGAATTCCACTTTTTGAATTTGAAAGGTGTTGATAATAATAAGAAAAAGTCTCAGTACTTTCATTTTTGCCCTCTGCATCAAATATATAAGCACTTCCGTTAGTTTTTGCTCTTAGTGATTAGTACAAGAAAGATAACCGATATTCTTTGAAATAAACTTAAAAGAAAAGTAAAAGTATTTAACAATTATATTTCAATAATTTCAAAAATTACATATATTAAATGAAATGGGTGTATACCACTTAAAATAATGAATATGTAAATTTTTTTAATAAAATGTTAAAGAATAATTCGCATTATATTTGCCTTACAATTATGTATATATTAGTAGGATTGAAAATTTAATTTATTAATGTGATTGAACATGCAAATTGACCAACAAACCGATATAAGATAATAATTAACCAAATCCTAAACAAGTTTTTAGGTCATGTCTTTTTAATTTTGTACTAATTACTTCAGTTTGTAGAAAAACTTATTACACGACAGATTCTCGTACCAAAAATAAGATGAACCAAAGCCTTTTTAACCAGTACAAGCCACAATTTTATCAGTAGTATCAAACCAAGTACAGGAAGGAATAGAACTTACATAAACAGAAATCCATGAGTATCATGTAGTGCCCGCGATACGGCCATTCAAAGTACATCAAGTTTCTGATTCACTATCAATACTACTATCAGTGCTTGGCTGCTTGCACAACTGCTATCAAACAAAATATTATTCCTTCCAGTGACATCGACATCAATGCACAAGGGAATGTTATCACAAGATTTATAAAAAAAAAAATGCAGATGTAGCAAAAATCACCTGTATTTATCTTGTATTTGATGGTGATTATTGATTCACCAAACTTTACACAAGAACTCAATAAGCTGAACCCATTAGCCTTTTTGTAGTCTTCTAAAGACTGTCATCTGTACTGTACGCCTATTCTACTATAGACATAGTAGAATTTTCCTCCCTCAGGAAGTCCTTTACCCTTTGTTCCATCGGAATAATACAAATTGAGAAATAGATTATTTTTTCCATAAAAGAATGGAACTCTTTCGACTCAACGCAATCTGATTGTCTCATTTGGGAAAATAACATTGGGATTTCTTATATGTGGATTAAGTGCTGCCAGTTCCTTCCATTTAGACCCAGTACCGTGAATTCGTGACGAGATGCTCCACAAAGTATCACCAGGCTGCACCTTTGTTGTCGAAGGGGCTGACGATTTAGGGACAGCCTTTGACTTAATAAGTGGATGCTTATTGCTCTTGCCCATCCCATTAGCAACCAACCAACGAGAACCGGACTGTTGCTGTGTTGCACTACCCCAAAGCTTTTTCTTGCCCGATTCAGACTTCAAGCCAGCAACATGGACTTCTGTAATTTTAAACTGAGCAATTGATTCCTCCTTTTCTTCTTTTACCTCATTCTTTACTTCCACTTTCGCCACTAACTGTGATTCATCATCTTCTTCACTGTTTCCTGTCAACATTGAGACCGTACTGTATATTTTTGGCTTTGGTGGGACAAAAACTCTCTCTACTTGAATCAGAGCAAGCATCGGTGCACCAACAGGCTCATAGTTTCGTAAAGGATCACGAAGTTGCACCATTAGTGTCACAGTGAAGTTATTCCCCAACAAACCACACTTACGACCACGTCCTTTCGTCCTTCTCCTCTCTCCCTTGGATCCTCCACGAATTAAGTCCAAGGAACTAGCATTATGGGCAGCAAGAATTCTGGATGTACGCTCACTGATCTCATCCTCATCACCAATTTCACCAGAATCCAGCTTCATCCATTCATCAAGAGTTAGTGACAGACCCATTAATCCATCAACATCATCTCCACTGTCCTTTACATCCAACAATTGCAATCCAGCAGCTCCCTCCAAACCAAGGGACCCACTTATGTTCACCCCCCTACCCTGAAGAGCTGAAATTTCTCCAATAGAGCGAGCGCTGATGTTTGAAGGAGCATCCTCATTTGACATGCCAGATTGTATTCTCAATCCCTCTATCGAAAGTGCTTCAATCTTATCCATAGCCAAAGGAGCAAGATCTTCCAGGGATACATATTCTGAGCATCCCTCATTACCAGAGTTTGAATTAAGCTTGCTAGATAGGGAGGAACTGCCTGAAGGTCTCTTTTGCCCAACAGATATATCTTGCCCAATATTAGATTCATGCTGCAATATATTCAATCTGCATGAAAGAAAAAAAAAATAAAACATAGATATCATTCTGCAAACAACATTTTAGAAAAGATATGAACTATTTTCTTATTCTAAAAAGCATGACTTGACTAGAAAGGGACTGACAAACCTATCAGGTTCCGGCAGGTTGGCTCCAGCTTCCCATGCTACCTGTTGCATGGTCTTCCCCATTATATCATCTAAAGGCATTAACTTATTTGCCTGCATAGAGAGCTTTTCAATTCCAATTGAGGCCAATTGCTGTAGTATCTCCATAACACCAGAACCCATTTCGGCAGGCACCACAACTGGATTAGAAACTTGCATGACCAAGTTGCTAGCATTTTTCGAATTTTTGAAAAGTGTGGGATTCATAGACCGCAAAAACCCTCCATTCTTTGTTTGAAGAAATGGGCCCAAACCTTCTCCTAGAGAAGGTAATTCAAGTGGCTCTTCAAGAGCTAAATCAACTGGTGCAGAAGTGGTAGCTCTGTGAGGTGGAGAATACTGGAAAACCTTCTCATTCAACCCCCACTCCCGCATTAAAGCTTCAGTTTCTAAGTCTTCCAACAACGTGGCCCCTGTTTTGTTCTCCATCACCTGAGCTGCCATCTCATGGTCCTTCTCAGCATCCTGAATAACTGACGACAGTTCAAAATCCTCATTCAAGCTTCCCCGCTCAGACACTCTTGGA